AGCATGTATGGGATTTTCTAGGAAGACGCTTGGCAGCTCATACCTTACCACCAGTAACGATTCCGGAGCTTCGATTGGCGCTGCAAGACAAATGGGCAGAAATGCCTCAACAACTCATTGACACCCTCATTCTGAGCATGGGCAGACGCTGTGAAACCTGCCTAGTAGTCAGGAGAGATCATATCCCCTATTAAAGACCAGATGTTTCTTGCTGGACACCCATCACAGGGATGTTTCGGACTTCAGTCGCATTGCACTCATTGCTACTTTTTTCAATAAGCTTCTTTTTATCCCTCTGATTTCTCTTTAGTAAGTGTTGCTTACATTACTCATGTCTATGTATTGGGGATCTTATGGTATTAAAGTGTTGATATGGAAAGCTTTTTACAAAGTTTATATTGAATAAACCGCCTCGTCCTTATTTTTGCACACCAGTGTATATAAGTTTTGGAGAGACTTAATTTTCAATACGAAATTCACAACAACCAATTGGAGAGATTTATTTAAACAACTTGCCAGGTGGCACAAAAATCTAGAATACTGTCGGGTGACTTTTAACTACTATCACAAACTATATAAACACCTTTGCCAGTTAGGCAATTACCCACGTCAGTTTGACGATTTTACTATCTATCTCCACGCTTTGTTGGCCATAACAAAATTTTTTTTTGCCAGTTTGGCAATTCAACTTTTAGAATATACAATCTGTAATACGTTGGGATGACGTTACTATCTACCACACACCTGGATGGCGAGAACTAAGAAAAAAACTTGCCAATTCTGCAGTATAATCAAATCACACTACGTCAGTTTGACGTTGCTACTTATTTTCCCCGCGCCTGCTTGGCAACAAATTCAAAATTTAGCTAGCAGTTTTTTTTTTTTTAAATAAAAGCCGGGATGGCTTACATATATCAATTATCAGCATAAAAATTCAATACAAATAAAAGTAAAGCATAAATAATAATTTTAAAATACTTCTTTACCACAAATATCAAGTATAAATTTAAGCTGAATATTTTTAGTGTCAGTTATTTTAAACAAAATCTTACACGATAAACTATAATTCTGAAACAAAGTATTAAAATTCAATAAAAGCTTTTTTAAGAAAACCAAAAGTTAATCTTATCTTCAGAGATCAATAGTATCCTGTTTTGACAGATTTTTGCTCGGATGCAAGTTGCAGAAGCACAGAAGATAGATACCCTTTGAATGATCTGCTTCAAATCTGGCTTTAAAACGGCAGACTTCTTACATCCATTTCTCCTTGAAATAAACAAACTCGGCAATTGGTATTAGCAAACTTGTTCTAAAAAATTCAGCAAATTTCTGGGAATAGGAGACCAGCACTATCGAAATTGATAATTGCACTCCTAATTTCCAGGATCTCGGTGGAATCTCCAATTAATTAAAACTGTAATGTATTTTGGAGTGATTTACAAAACAGACAATCTTCTTAGTAGAACATAAATTTTATTTCTAGTTCACGGTGATAGACAAATTTTATACAATTCTTAAGTGGCAAAATTTTCATACTACTCCTAGCTGGTAAACTCTTCAGAATTTTCATCTTTTTAAAACAATATCTCATGTTGCTGAGTAACGGTTTAATACAAATATGGCATTGCCACTTCAACAATAATTATATTTATTTATTAAATAACAAGATATTACAGTAAGTACTTGGTCAGTATGAAATAAAAATTTTATTAATCAATCAGCACTTTTTAAAATTTGGGTGCGGCAATCTTAGAAATGTACGCGGGCAGCCAATGGCCTCTGAACGGCTCTGTGCTTAAGCAGATAGCTGTTGTGTTCTTCCATATTTAAATAATGAAATTCTTAACTTCAAGATGCAGTTTGCTATTTTCATCAGTTTTAAATATTTCAACCATTTAAACTACTATTCATAAACATAGGTGAACACAATGCTGTGTTCATGAGCTTTCATAGACGACTTGATTATTTCCAATGCAACTCCCCAGGTGTAATAGTAATAGTTTATTAATTTCACATCTTGTTTATTCCTAACCAAAAGATAAACTTTTATTCACAAAATAAAGGGTTCCATTTCCTTTGCTATGAATGCATTAAAAGTGCATATAATTCTTAAGGTTGCATTATTTTATGTAAAAAGTTCAGTACACATCATTGAAAATACTGTGTTATTTTTCAGATATATTAAAGAAAAAATACATATGAATCTCATAGCATTTAATATTTAATATAGATATTCATCATGCCAAAAATAAAGATAGAAAGTCTGAAACATTTGGTACTGCTTCATAAATTTTAATAAATTTCTTCTTTAATATCTAAAAATATTAATGCTATAATTGTATGTTACTGGAAGTGAAAGCCATATTTTAATAGCCGTTGTCTTTACATTGGGTGTTTCAAGAACAATTGTAAAGTTTCTTCAATTACCTGAATGCGTTTCTTACATTTTGTCTCTTAAGTAAATTTTGCAACTTCTATAACTACTTAAATTTGGTAAACGATTCATATAGCAAATATCAGTTTTTGTTCCTTTGTGGATTTCTTTTATTTATTCATTTTTCTTCCAGTTTAAACATATATTCTTTGGCTAGAAGGATAAGACATATCAATATTTATTCCTCTAATTCACACATAGAAATAAAAGGTTTTTGCTTCGGTATATCAATGATTTTGAAGTTCGTTAAAACCTGCACGGGGTGCCAAAACTTTTAAAATTTAAGAGTGAACCTATCAGCAGAGTTTGCAGTGGGTGGTAAAAAGTCTCGCACTGGGGCTGACTGGGTGTCACCTCCCTTAAAAATCACTATGCCCACCACAAAATGTCTTGATTTGTTCCAAAGCAAAACTTAGCTACTTGCTCAATCTGAATTTGAATTGTACTGTTTAAATTGCAAAATATTGTATTGGTTTTGAAAAAGGTTTGCTTAAATTGTCCCAAAACATAAACAGGTCACATAACTACCCTTGTTATTATTTTTAGATGCACCCATTTTAAATTTTATAAATTATGCAGGATTCTAAACATGATGGGTGTCTATGCAATCAAGAAACTACAAAAAGAAAAGCACTGGAGAAAAAGGCATTTTCTTATATTCTTCATTCCATGGTTCAACTCATCAAAGTTCTCAATGTGAAAGTAACTTACTATTCTTATCCTATAGGTATGTGCCAGAACACAGCAATATCTATTGAATTGGCATTACTGTTTAAATTCATTGATGTCGACCAGAGCCTGGCTCTGGTACAGCTTTCGAAAGAAATCATAATTTAATTTGTTATAGATTAAATTTTACTTAGAAACATTTAATTTTTTTTTATTATCTTGGTTTCCTGACATTTGCACAGTGTACAGTACCGGTGCTGGCTGATAAACCATGATTTTTTACCCCTATTCGTTAAGCCTCATGATATACTCCTCTTTATACCTCATTTGCTTAAATGTTTCAGTGATAAATTTTAAATCTTTCCCTCCTCTGATAATACTACCCAATTTGGTGTGAAATTTTTGGTTTTTAGCAATACTTATCTTGATCTGTCCTCTTAATTTGTCTCTCTTTCGAGTTATTAAATATATTTAATAAAAAACCAATGAGAAAATAAATAATCTATAGAGCAAAATGAATATTCAAAACTTAAAGGAACCACCATTAGTAAAGTAACACAATATTTTAACTGTTAAAATGAAGTCAATCTATCTAAAAGAAAAGTATATAATTTATCAACATGCAAGTGGTTAAAACTTCTGCTATGTCTATTTGTTAAATGTGATGTAACGAATTTAATCAATTTAAAAAGCAATTTGCTGAAACAAAATGTAAAAGAAAAAACTTCTATAAATTATGCAGACGATGACAAAGGAAAAAATTCATAGTATTTTCCACAAGACAAAAAAGTATATCAAAATGAATATAAACATTAAAAAAAAAAAATGAAAAAATCTAGAATTTTTCAGATTTTATATTACTTCAAAGGGACTTTTTAACATTTTGTGTGTTACCTTTACTTATTAAATATCATGTTCATCAATCACATTTATTAAGTGATATTTATTAAATATCACTTAAACCATAAAATTCAATTCAACAGCAATATCACAAAATAATTTTAAAATGAGCATATCTTTAGAATTTCCGATACACAGTCTTGCGTGCTGGAGATAAAAATGTCTTTTTCCGTACAGTATTGCCATTGCTCACTTTGAAATCATTGAGCGTGTTAATCTTAAATTCGTTAAAAGTGTTACAAAATATGAAATCAATAATAAAACAAATTTCAAATTAGGGCTTCCAGATGGCCATATTCAGTGGAAGATTACATTATTCAAAATTTGATGGCTCTAGGTACGCTGTTTTATCACAATGCGATAAACATACATACATTAATGCAGATTCCCAACATTTATAGTGAAGCAAGGCAAAATGGCAAAACATTAATAGCCCTTATGGGCTAACACCTTTTGCGCTTTAAAAAAAAAAAGAGAGAGAGATACAGTTGCATGTTAATTTCTTGCCAATACAATATATCCATTAGAGTGATGGAACAGTATTTCATGAAGTTAGCCATTTTGTAAAAATAGTTGGTCAGTTATAAATTTAGACCAGAAAAGCAGAATAAATTTAGAAATTAATTGGAATTTGCTTTTAAAGGATTTTCATAAAATTGATGTTTCTTGAAAAGGAAATTTATATTTAATATTATTGTAAAAACTGCATTTTATCATTAGTGCATAGATATTTCTGAGGCAGTGATTCAAAATATCTGCAAATTAAGTAAATTATCCAAACGAACGAATTGACAATGTATGATAAACAAATTCTGCGGCTAAGCTGTAGAAATTAGATTGAATTTTTGATTAATTTATTTTTTAAATGGAACTTTTTTATACCTGACCAGAAGAATAAAATATATTCTGAAGTTCTGTATTTGTATCTCAATTCGTATTTGATTAACAAAATAAATTTTTCAATATGTATAAGTAAATATAAATAAAACAACTGGAAGAAAACATAAAACACATTTATTTAAAGCCCAAAATAATAGAAAGGACACAAACAATGGGCAGTCACAATGAAACAAGAAATAGAAACATGTTTATATACAATAATTTATACAAGCATCATGGTCTGGCCGTCCATACACAAAGCAGGAACATTTAGTTTTATTGCATACACATATTTTTTTTTTTTTTTACATATTGCAGAGGTAATTTTCTGTCATTTTCTCTGCCAACGATATGTCTTTGATGCATAGGTAAAATGATTGATAACAATTGTAGAGAACGACGCACAAGTTACAGGTAAATGTGTAATATTTCAGTAAATTCTCTAATCATAAACGTGGAAGAATTATGGATAATTAAGTTAGTTAACTGTAAAATAATCAGAAACCGAAATGGAATTCAAAGTTATGTGTATATCAACTACACGTCAGATCATCCATTTCGAAAAGATAGTTTTGAATTTTTGATAATTTTACATAAAATAAGCATTCAGATCATCTTAGTGACAATTAATAGATAATTTCTGTGAATTCTAAGAATACAAATCTTGAAATCATAATACACACTTAAGTATACATAATACACAAAGGAAAATTAAAACCAATGTCTTTCAAAAGCTCAAAGTAAACTTAGAAAAGTAATAAAATTTCAACATTAAAAAAATTATAATTTTAATTTTAGGAAAAGCAGAAGGTTTAGTTTTGAATAGTGCATCAAAATTTTCAATATTACATAAAAAGGGCTATTTTTTTAGTTATGAACTGCCAGCATTAGACTTCACTGAAGTCAAAACTTAAAACATTAACGGTCTTTCTATTTGTAAGCTGTCCCCACTCTATGTAACCTGCCACCCCCATTTGGCAAATTGCAGAATTTTCCTCATACACAAAGGCCACTCTTAAAATTAATTTCCCAGTTTTTTTCATTAATGAATGATGATAATTTCATTTATAAGCTATGGTATTTACAAAGAGAACACCTGGGACGAGTGCTTAGTATGCTGAAACCACTGTATCACAATCGACCACAGCCAAAGATAATTTTCGCATGCAAGCAAGCAATTCATTACGTTACTGAGATACCTGGCTTTAAAAGCTGTGGTTTCAGCATTACAACAAGCACAAAAATTTACAATTTTCATATTGAAAGAAGACTGAAACAGGGAAGCAAAATTTCTTTCCACTAGTAGAGCCACAGATTTATAATGAAATAGTAAAACAACCATGAAATGATTCTAAAAAAATAGTAAGTTTCTAAAATTGAATGTTAATAATTACTTTACTGAATTTTCTTAAAAATTATACCAGACAAAGAATAACTGCAATCTTAAGTTTGGCAAGCTCCTCATTATTACCAGGCTTCTCATTTACGTAATTAATTGCTTGCCAATATGTTGCACGCGAATATACCAATGACTGTGGTCGATTGTGACAATTAAATGCAAATTACAAATCTGTATTTTCTTTCCAAAGCATTATAAATTCATACAGAGCACTGTTAAAGTAAAAGTAAAATGAGAAATATGTAAATTTGTTGACTTGCCAAACATTAATATTACTTGAAAGGAATCACATGATAATAAAAATCATACACAAAACGGAATGATATATACAAACTAATATCCTTTGACATTCAGATGCTCCACTTGCGATTTTTAGTTTCAAAGTTTTCATCTGATTAAAACTAAGTACATAAATATATACAAATCTATCACCCAGATAAATCATTGGCTTCATACAATGTCTGATCATATAGTTCAGCTTTAACTATTCGTCCCCCAAAAAAACGTCCATTCAAAGCATCTCGTGCTTTACAGGCCTCTGTGGGGGGAGAAAAACAGAATTACTTTCATGTTAAACTTCTACTAAATAAGACAAATTATTAAAAATATTGATACTATTGTATTGAAAAGATAATACTGAACAATGAAATGTACATTTCACTGGTTCATAAATGAAGGAAAATCCACAAAAATGACAATAACTAGAAAGTTACATTATAATTTAATGAAAGTGACCCACAGTATAAAACACATAGTAAGGTATAAATTAACATGAAAAGTTATTAACAGACAGTTATGGTGTTATAGAAATTTATGTATAAATTACACACACGTATAAAATGAATAAATCAGATGTGTCAGTTTGGTATAGGAAAATTACCTTCAACATGGAATATGATCTCACATGGAAGCAATATGGTCAACTATGCAATTAGTAAAGCTACTACTCTTGCAACACAGGATCAAGCATGGCGCACACTCTTGTTTTAGGAGATAATAAGAATTTTGTTGTCATTCCTTTCTTTCCATCAATTAGTTATAAAATTGCACGTATTTTACAGAAATTTAACTTTCGGGTCGTTTATTCTCTATCAATAAAATTCAGAGTTCCATACTCAATGACCCCCATTCCAGATATGAATTTCTGGGGCATTTACAGGATTCCTTGTCAGTGTGGCTTAATTTACATTGGTCAAACTAACAGAGCTTTAAAATTTCAAGTTAAGGTACATGAGGCATATGTTATGTTAGAAAAAAGGAAACACAGAAGTCCTCTGTTGCTAAGCACTGTTAGTCTGAAAATCATGTTTTGAATTTTTCTGCAGCCAAAATTATTCAAAAAAATCTTTCACTGGTGAATAAGATTTTCTAGAGGCATTTCACATTCAAAAAATTCTTTCTGTTCTAGTTAATGACGCTATTTCCAATCCACATTTGCCTTCAGCCTTTAACACTTTAATGGGCGGTACATAAAATAATTTAAATTGCGGTAAAATTTTGCGTGAACTAATTGCTTGCCAATATGCTTGCCTTATGGACCTAAAGACACAAAATTGAGACTTAAAAGAAATCTAGAGCAAAATCCTAAATTTTGAGAGCCGGTATATATTTTATACTGGCGCCCCTAAGTCATTTTTTTTCCAGGTAGCTGCCAACTGTTAATTTTTTTTTTCAAATTAATTTTGTGTACTTTTGACGTGCATCTGTACAGATGGGTGCTTGAATATGTTTATGCAAGTTTTGAAGACAAAAACTTTTAAAATATCGGTAGAAATTTCAAGTTTTTCTTAACCTTTTGAGGTCGGGACTTTGGTAGCAGTTAAAGCTACCAAAGGACGGGAAATCTTGAACCGAATGCTTTCCCCCCTTTAAGAAATCAGCTCCTATTTGCAAAAAGATTCTTGTGTGTAGTTTAATGGATTCTCAGAGGGGTGCATCTATGTCGCAAAAGGAAGACCTTTGAAAGAGATAAGTGGTTAAACCCCAGGGACGTCAAATTTGACATTTCACCCCACTTTTCAGCCTGTATAATGGGGGAAAAAGACATGGCCATTAAAGTGGACAACCCCGTCTTTTCAAAGAGAGGACTCTATGGCCACTATAATGGCCATCCCGTCTTCAAAAGGTTAAAGTAAAATTTATGTTTTAAATTTTAAAAGTAAAATTTATGTTTTAAATTTTAAAAGTAAAATTTATATTTTTATGCACTTTGATGATGCAACCCAGCTGAACATACTTATGTAAAATATGGGTAAAAAGCTTTTTAACTTGATTTAACTTCAATATTATTATTTTATAAAAAAATTTAGCAAATATACCACTGCATTCGTAAATCGTATCTTGCTGTAACCGAACTAGTATAATATTACATGGAGATAATTGCTGGAAAAAAAAAATTAAAAAAATGAAACAGTACGACTCAGATGAGAAAGTATGTTGCATTTTTAAAGTCATATTTTATACTTTAGATAATATATAAGAAAACCATGGTTCATGCTATGATACCAAGAATTGCCCCCCCCCATGCACACACACTTTTGATTAACGAGGACCGTAAGGGCCCCTTTTTTTTATCTTTTGTAAATATAGGCTGTAATATATCTTTTTGTTCAGGAAGAAACGCCGTTAAACAACTTTATACACCTCAAAGCTTTTATTTCGATTTTTAACTCCTTTGGCTTCCTAGGGGCTCCTTTTCATCTTTTGGATAAATTCTAGTTTGCATCTCAAATGGGCCTTAGAAATATTTTCCCTTATTTCAGCAACTTTGAAATTTATTTCAAAAACAACAATTTCAACTTATTTGTAACCTAACCCTTATTTTCTCTTGCATTCCCTAGTCTCTTATCTGAAATTAACAAAGACGGTAAGAATAAAAGCATGCTTTCAAATCAGCAGTTTTTCTGATTACTTTAAGGGATGGACCTTAAGTGCACTTCCATTTCCCGTATTTTCTCTTTGTGTGATCTTATCACACCACACAAAGGGAAGAAGGCGTGACTCCGAAATGACAAATCAGTTGTCAATCACCTCCTTTCATTTTCCTTGGATTCTAGGATTTTGGAAAACACGAAGCAACGGGTGTCTTTTGGGGGCTAGCATGCCACATTTAACCCCTACAACCGTGTAAAATTTTGACCCCAGACGGCAATTTTGAAACCACCGAGTCTTTATCTTAGGAAAGGATGAAGTGCTGAAGTTAAAATTTTAGCTAAATAGAGACGAATGAAACTCGAGCGGAGTAAAAAAAAAAAAAAAGAAAAGAAACAAATATATTTGTATTCAGTCCTAGTGCAGAGTCAGTACATTCCCCATCCCTTCATGAACATAATACTGAATTCTAAACAACTTGTAAGTTAATCATAAGGACATTAATTATTACATCATAAACTATTATAATGTAAAGAAATGCTGTTATTTCACAGAGTAGAGAAGGAGAAGCCTGGTGCTGCCATCTATTGGCAAGGTATCCTCAGAAGGGATGCTGGCATATATTATATACTGGTATTAAAAACGTATAAATAATCTTCTTTTAATTATCACTTTTGATTGAAATGCAGTAAATTTAAAAGGTTCAGCATGTGTACGTCATATATTTTACATTTATTTTTTCTTTCCCTACAATAGAATTTATCAATCTTCAAACATGATACCTTGGAACAATGTATATTAATTTCATAATTGCAAAATATTGAGCATTCATTGGGTGGTGCTGCCATTTAGAATCAAAAGGAAACACTAGCAATTTACGATTATAACTTTTGGTGTAGAGAAATTAGCATTTTCTCGGAGGTTAAAAAATTGACAAACAATCGGTATATCCTTCAAAGGGTTAAGGAAATTATGTTTTAGTTCTTGTTTCATCAATAGATGGTGCCAGTAACTTAACTCCTGTCCAGCCATTCTTATCTTAACTAATCACTATATCTTAACTCATTCATTTGTCAGCTGATAATGATGGTTCCGTAAAACAATCAAAACTAGTCGTGTGAAAATTTGCAAATATAACGCTGATTTTTGTTGTTTGACTTCTAAATTAAAAATTGTTCATCGTGTTATTTTATCTTAGCCTGTCACTGATTTTAAAGAATGGGTCAGAGGTTTAGATAAATTTATAATTGTTCTGTTAATGCATTCGGAATGTAACTTAGCAGCATTTCAATAGAAATTATTCTAGGATAACTCAGGAAGTGCACTATTTATCAGAATATGCTTTCCAAAGTGGAAAAAAAAAAGCATTAAGACCATTACCAATCCATATTTAAGAAAAATCTACAAGAATTTTTAACTCTAACAAAGAGAATACAGTCAGAATATATTTTTAATTTATAGTTTAATGCTGTGAAATTTATTCTGACAGCTTTTAAAATTTCACTATATATTTAAAGCACAATTTACTTTACATGATTCACAAGCATATTTGGTACATAATTCAGAATTATGAACAAGTCTTTTACAATTTACAATACCTTTCATATCTACACACCAAATTTAGAAAGAAAGACTGCATATTTTGCCAATGCATTTTCACAAATTTCATATCTCAGATCTTTCACATCTACAACTATTATACTCATTATTAATTAAATAGAACCAATTATTAATGTTCTTATATTTTAACAGGTCACAAGAATTTTATTTCATTTGCATTTTGTAACCTGCCAACAACGCATGCTAGTTCAGTAGCTTTGTGTACTGACCTCAAAAATAAATTTTTTTTTGTCAACATAAGAATGCTTTAAATTTGATACACCGGATAATCATACCCTTCATGATATATGAGCCCTAGTGGCCCCGCTCAGTCAATCAAAGTGTAATTTCAAGCATCATTATTTGAAGATACGTGCTCAAGATTGTGATGATTTAAAACAACGGAGCTCTCACGGCCACACAGTGATAATTTTAAAATGGCCACATTCATTTCTTCCTACATAAAGTACCCAGTGCATTGAAAAATTACAAAACGCACTGTAAAGACAGACATATGATCAAAATTGCCATATAAAATATCTGCAAAAAAGAGCATTGTAAAGGAACAATGACAACACAGAAATGGAGGTGAATTAATCCACTTTGGCACAATTCACAAAAAAGCAACAATTACAGAACACCATATGCATGTGAAAATCTTTAATAAGCAGTGTTTCTTCAATCAGGTGTTCAAACGTGTTTTATCTGAACAGAACAAATGATGCTAAAGCGGTGCGAGTGCATTGGTAAAACAATTTTAAGAAACTGGACGCATATGTAACAGACTGCGATCGGGATACGTGTGTTCCTGTTGAAGTTGTTGTGGAAGTGCATAATATGATTATTACTGCATACTTGGCAACCGATGACATTAAAAAAAAAAAAAAAAAAAAAAAAAAAAAAAAAAAAAACTCATTGACAAAAATATTTTTAAATAATGAATCAACTTTAAATAGTTACTATTTCTTAAATGAAAATGGTACAAAAATCTATGAAAAGTGGAAAATTATGTTTTCATAATTTTGTTAGGAGCAATTGTACATAGGCCTGCTTTTGCTAATAGTTTTT